GTTAATTTTTGTGTATGGTGTAAAAGCAGGGTTTCATTGTTTTGCATGTGGATATCCAGTTTTCCCAGCACCATCTGTTGAAGAGACTGTCCTTTCCCCATTGTCTGTTCTTGGCTCCCTTGTTGAAGATGAGTTGACTGTATGTGTGTGGATTTATTTCTGGGCTCTCTATTCTGTTCCATTGCTCTTTATATTCAACATAGTACTGGAAATCCTAGTCAGAGCAATTAGGCGAGAAAAAGAAATAAAGTGCATCCAAATCAGAAAGATAGAAGTAGTCTCTGTTTGCAGATGACATGATATTATATATAGAACACCCTAGAGACTTCATTTAAAAAACTGCTTGAACTAATAAACGAATTCAGTAAAATTGCAGGATGAAAAATCAAAATATAGGGGCCAGCCCCATGGTGTGGTGGTGAAGTTTGGTATGCTCCGCTTGGGCGGTCCAGGTTCACGAATTCGGATCCCAGGTGTGGACCTATAACACTCGTCAGCCATGCTGTGGTGGCGACCCACATACAAAATGGAGGAAGATTAGCACAGATGTTAGCTCAGGGCATATCTTCCTCAGCAAAAACAAAAACAAAAAACATCAACATACAAAAATCAACTGTGTTTGTGTAAACTAATAACAAACTTTCTGAAAAGGAAATTAAGAAAACAGGCCTATTTACAATAGTATCAAAAAGAATAAAATAACTCAGTCATAAACTTAACTAAGGAAGTGAAAGACTTGTACACTGAAAACTACAAAACATTGATGAAAGAAATTAAAGAAGACGCAAATAGAAAGATACCCGTGTTCATGGACTGGAAGACTTTGTTAAGATGTCCATACTACCCAAGGCAATCTACACATTTAGTGCAGTCCCTATCAAAATCCCAATGGCATTTCTTACAAAAATAGAAAACACAATTCTAAAATTTATATGGAACCACAAAAGACCTTGAATAGCCAAAACGGTCTTGAAAAAGAACAAAGCTGAAGGCATTATGCTTCCTGATTTCAAGACACATTACAAAGCCACAATACTTAAAATAGTATGACAGATAACCTTTTTATTTTGGACTAGTTTTAGGTTTATAGAAAAGTAGCAAAGATATACAGAGTGTTCTCATGTGCCCATTTCCTCTGTCAACATTTTACGTTACCATGGTACATTTATCAAAGCTAAGAAACTAACGTTGATATGTTACTATTAACTAAACTCCAGACTTGATTTGGATTTCACCAGTTTTCCACTAATGCTCTTAGTTCCAGGATTCAATCCAGAATACCACACATTGCATTTAGCCCGGATCCATTTTTTAGTCTGTCTCTTGCCATTATTTCCATATTGTCAACTGAGCCTCAATATTGCCGCTTTTGTTTTTCCTTCTAGCATGATTATCTCCTTAAATTTCTGCGTCTAAGTAAACCTCATCTAAGCAAAGATAATCATATTTGTTAGAAATGTGTGGAAAAAGAATAATTTCTGATTTTGTAAGATTCTGCTGTGAATAATTTGTTTGAATTTGGGCATACAAGTGCCAGACTGTTTTGATCATTCACTGTTGGAGTTAATCCCTTGCCTCCCAGTGTATTCTTGGTGATGGAGCTTGCCAGACTGCTGACTCTCTGATTTGTGACCTGTTGCTGTCCATGTCGCCCAGTGATAACGTCTTCCAAAACTCGAACATCACAACCAGAATATTAACATTAATAAGGGTCAAGATACAGAACATTTCCATCACCACAGAGACCCCTCATGTTGCCCTTCTATAATTAAACCCACTTCCCCTGCCCCTCACTCCTCCTGTTGGTATTACAAGTGATTTTCTATTGGAACATGGACATTTTTGGTATTATATTATGAGACTCTGAATCTCATTTAAATCTTCTGTTTTAGCTGGCTTCCTCTGACACTGCTCTGGAAGGAGAAGTGGGTATGCCACTTTGTTCCTGCCGTGGGTATAGAACGGCCAAGTTCCCCAGTAGGCCTCCACTGATACCTCCTGGGTGAGGAAGGGGAGAGTCCAGGCTCCCCAGGGGTCTCCACAGACACTGTTGGGACATGGGTGGGTCAAATCCTTGTAACAGCTCATCTTGAGTGCAGGTGGGGCCACAGTTTGTTCTGTGGTGTTTGACTGAAATAGACCAATTATTGTTTAAAAGTTTTCGGTCCTGCTGTGTGGTCCTTTTCCTGGTCCTTTGGCTAGAGAGCAGGGTTTTTGTTGGAACTTTTTTTGTCTGTGCTCGTTGGTGTTTTCAGGTTGCTGGCTTCTCTAGCCCCAAATCTGGGATATTTGCAGCAAGAAGAAAGCCAGGGCACTCAATATCGTGTTGTTCCTTGGGTGCTGGGGTCCCTGGTTGGTCTGCCTTCTTCTTGCCACCTTTTAAACTCTTCTTATGTTTGTTTTATATATAATGTCCAAGGTTTTTAATTGTACTGAGCTGAAAGAATTAGAAAAAGTATTTTACTCTGTTATTTTGGAAGTAGACATCTATTTCACATCTACCTTTGCAGTATTTTTTTTTCAAGAGCAGATTTATCTTCCTAATTATAATTTACTTCCTACGTTAGAAAAGTAATTATTTTCTCAAGAACATACCACCTGGTAAACATGGTAGGCATTCTATATTTTTTTCACGTTAAATCAGATAATTAAGTTTATTTTGTTAAGTGGGCCTTATTTGTGTAAAAGTAACTATTAAGTTCTTTGAAAATGCTGTCAGTGACTTCAATGTCTCTTAATTCTAGTAATTATAGGCACTATTACATTCAGAGAAATGGCATCTGATTTTTAGTGGATGTGCAGCAATGATTCTTCTGTAGAGAATCATTTGGTCAGTCTATTTCATATATTTCTTCAAAAGAAGGTATTGATAGCTATGACTAATGAATGTCTACCACAAGCCAAAATAGACATTTATTTGCTAACGTGGTTTTTTTAACTAAAAACAGTTTTGTTTTTTTTTTAAGATTTTTTTTAAGGTGTGTACTTGGAGATTGTGTATGTCTTCTTCCTTCTCTCCTCCACAACTCTCCTTCCAAAAGAGATTAATGCTTTTAATCTCTGCATGACTGGTCAATACACTTTTAAAAATACTGTACTGATGTCGTGTTATGCCATATCCGGTAGGTTTTAGTGTGATGATCTTTTCCTTTTTATTCTGTTAGAAATTAAAGTGTGGAGATGTGATAAGTGAACTGTTAACAGCTTCTTTTAGCGAATTGAAACAGAATTTAAACCACGCTCTTAAGCTTCATTTCAGTAGTTGGAATGACTTGAACATGAATTTCAAGCTCAGGTGCTTTTTGCTCATATTGTAGCAGATGGTTTTCGTTACAGATAATTCACAATATTTCAACAATGTCCACATCCTCTTTGGTAAGAGGTCTATTTCTTAGTAATTAAAATAATATTGAACATTACTGCATGCTGCTTAAGAGCAAATATTTTTAAATGTTCATCTTCCATTTCTATGTATTTTGTAGAATGATAACTTCAGGCTTGTGAGCAAAGGGCTTTCTGTTCTCCGTTCTTCCTGGTGTTCTTGCTCCTGTCCGTCTTCCAGGGAAATAACTATTGAAGTTACTGTGGATTTATCATGTAACTCTGGAATGGTCACATAAGCGGTTTAATTTCAAATTCATGCCACCTATGTCTCTGCCTCTCAGTTATATTTCCCATTCGTGATCATTGTTTAAAATCTAGTTACATTGCCCAAACAGCAGATATGATTCAGCTACTTCATCTGCCTAGAAAAAAACTGAGTATCAGTAAGGAAAGAGGAGACTGTCTGTGCAGCCATATTGGGCACAAAAACTGATGCACTTTATAGCCTTACAGATGTTTAGCTTTATTGATAATGAAAGAAATGTACAGCTTAAAGCAATGGTGTGTTATTTTTCAGTTATTAAATTATAAAGAATTTAAATAATGGTAATACCAGTTGGTAACAACGTCACAAGCCTAAACTCGTGTATCTTTCAAATTGGTACAAACCAGAGGAAAAACAACTTGATAATGTGTATCAGGAGTTGTAAAATTGTCTGTGCTCTTTAATCTAGTCACTCTTCTGAGATAGATATCTCTTCTGAGATATCCCAAGGAAATAATCTGAAATGCAGAGGAAAGGCGGTATATGTAGTAGCGTGGAACAGTGTTTGTGATAGATTATTCAGCAAAATCATAGTTAAAATTGTATTTAAACTATACCATGTTCACTTCAACATGCCTATAGCAGAAAAAAATTATAAATAGATTCAGAATTCTTAAAGTTAGAGTAGAATTTTTTGTGATAATATAAATGCAAAAAGCAGTACTAGTTGTGTCTGTATGTATGTATGTGCATGCCACAGGCACCGAAAGGACAAAAGAGATCAAAATGTTTTCTTGTTATGTTAATGTTATTATCTTCAGGAAGTGGAATTATGTGTTATTTTTAATTGTATTTCTTTTGTTTTCCAAATATCCCAATGGGAGAGGGAGAGTACATGCTTGTTTGTTTTAGCTATTCATTTTTACTTATCTTTTTTTTTTTTTTTTTTAACCAGAAGCATATACTTGAATGTAAATAGCATAGCCATCCAACGTAGGGCAAGCTGTTGGTCTGTCAGTCCTGAGAGCTTCACCGAGCTGCCACAGGAGAGTACCTAATCTTCCTAAGGAGAACCCCGGACAATTGTGTATAAATGCTCTTCAGCATGTTCTGTTCCTTTTAGGATACTTTCTACCAGGTTTTGACGCTTTTTACATGGATGAGCTTTCACCTGTTGAGAAATCCAGTTAATCAGACAAGTTATGTTCATAAGCCCTAGAGAACTGAGGTTCGACTAATTGACTGAAATTTTCTTGGACAAACTTTTCCACAATGAGGCTGTTTTAGAATCCCTTATAAGAAGGGAGGTGAAAGCAGTTTTGTTGCTGAGGAAGAGATTACGAGAATTTAGTCACATGTAAGAGGGACGTGTTTTGCCTCTTTGACAGTGTGGCTCCTCTCTGTCCCACAGCTGGCCCTGAAGGACCCGGTGCACACGGTGTCACTGCAGCAGTTCATCTACGAGAAGCTCAAGGCTCAGCAAGAGCTGCTGGGAGAGCAAGGCTTCCAGTCCCTCATGGAGACGGTAGACACGGAAATCGTCACCCAGCTGCAGGAGTTCTTGCAGGGCTTCTAAGAGCACGTGCCACGTGACTGCCTCCCCTTTCTGAGACAGTCCAAGGAACCCAGCCTGCCATCTGTGTGTGAGAGCCTGCTGAGACGAAGAAATCCCTTGTATATGAAAATAAAGAAGCCAAGACCACGCGTTTTTTACTACAAAATTCAATAAATACATGTAAATCCTGCATAGCTAAAATCACAAACCTATTCCTCAAAAGAATTTAATTTTATTTTTATGAGGGGCCCTGTGTTTACTAGAGATAGATTTGATGGCAATAGCTGCTTAGTTTTCTGTTAAGAGAAGAAACTGTGATTATCTTTTAATCATGTGCTCTTAACACTTGAGAAGATGAAGGTTAATCCTAATATGTTTTTCTGCAACCAAAATTAAATTTGGCTGCCTTATCCCTTTTTTAAGCTAATGAACCTACAAGTTTGAAAAATGACAAAGCTGTTCAGATGATGCAATTAAAATTGTGCACTAGGCAAAAATATATAAATAGTGACAAATATACAGTACTGAGATTATCTTGCAAGGGAGTTGCTTTCATCTGACATAGAAAACATGTTTTATCAGACGAATGCTTTTATTTTCATTCTAGTAATTTGATACAGGAATTAGTAAAGGGATTTTTTTTTCTCGTTTTATTTTCAGTAATTACATTTAGTCTTTAAATGCACATTGTAAGGCCTGCAGAAGTGAACCTGTGGTACTGCCGTACCAGATGGGAGACCTCTGGGCATGATTCAGTCCTAGTTCCTTTGTTATTCCCGAAGGCCGGGAGCCCTGCGAGCACCGAGATGGCCCAGGCGCCCGCAGAGGCCCTGTGCTCTGACGTGGCTGTGACCAGCTGTTCAGCACTTAGCGGTCTCGGGGTGCAGGAGTGCATCAGGGCCTCGCTGTGGGTGCACCCCGGAGGGCCCAGTCCCCAGGGTACCAACACTGATGTGACAAGTCTTCCTTTCTTCTTCCTCCAACATGCAGTACCAAAAAAGGGGTAAAAGGAGAAAATAAAGCCTTACTTTGTTTTACTTGCCATTTATTGTAAGGAACCTTTAAAGCATTTTTAAGGAAATATTCAAAAAGCAGTGTTGGAAAATGTCTGATCTTTCTATAGAAAGTTGGGTACAGTATGTAACTGCGGGAAACCCACTGCCCCTTTGTAAGCTGTGGAACCCAAAATGTATGGAAATATTTGATGTTTTCAGCAAAAGAAAGAAAATATGGTCCAAATTAAATTTTCCAAAGATACCTCACATTTGACTGATTTGTCTGATTATTTTTCCTGTCCCACAAGAAATGAGTTCCTAAAAATTGCCCAGTGAATTTTAGAGGGAAATTTTCTCTCATCCTCTGGTGTTGGCTCTGTCCTAGTGGGCGGCAGTGCTGCATGTAGCAAATCCTGGTTACCCCTTCAGTTTCTCCTTTCGTTTAAAAACTGCCACTGCTTTAGAAGACTGAGCTTTAATATGGTATTTCTTTATCATTATCAGTCAGTCCTCAGGACTGATCTGAGAAGAATTTCTTTTTGTTGACTTAATTATTTTCCTTTGAGGCACTTATTCCCATTATTCTTGTCAAAATTCTCAAACATGCTCCCGTTCTTGGGTTATAGTAAAATACTCGTCTTTCCAATTCCTGATAGATTTCATTATCGTGTCTCAGAAAATATTACTAAAAGAGCTACCTTGCAAAACAACTAAAAAACTTATCTCAGGGAAAGAGTTTGGTTAATTTTTTAAACTCAAAGCTTAAAATAGGCTTTGTAAATAGCTCAGAAGAAAAAAATCATTTGAGTTTTTAAGTGCTCAATTAAGACATGTAATTCTAGATTTACAGAATTGTTTAATTCAGCTTTATAGCAAACATATTAAGTTTTAGACAGACAACTCAGCCAGGCCTCTGGTTGAACTGTGGCTCCTGCTACGAGGTAATGATCGTTTCTATTCCACAAACAGACTCCTTTTCTATTTATTTTATATTCCAGAGACTTTTCCCAACCCTCTGACAAAAGCCCATGTAGCCAACAATAGCATTTTAAAGTTTTTATTATAAGTGGTGTCTCCTTCCTCTCTCTCCTACCAGTCATATTAGAGAAGCCACATCATTACATGATAGAACACTCACTTTTACAATTTCCCTGGCAAAATCCTCACCTTAGATCTTTATTTTCCCCATTCCTTATTCAGTTTATATTTGTTGAGTTCCTGTTTTGTGCCATAGTGCCATGCTAGATTTTGGGGTTAGTACAGGGTACTTACCTCATGAGGTTTTACAGTTCACTGGGAATACAAACTTGCCAACATGATAAAGAAAATAGTGGTTCTAATGGAAGTGTGCCTCGAGGAGCAGCAGGAGTGCAGGGGAAGGAGATGTGTACAAGAGAATAATGCTGGTGCTAATTTGATATCCATTTAAAAACTGCTCTCAAACAGCATAGTTTGCTGGGGTTATTTAAAAGAACTTGGCACTGCACTGGACCTGGGAAGCTCTCTGATTCCAGACTCAGAGCTCTGTGAAATTACTCTGACATACAAAATCATCAGTGAGATTTGGAAAATGCTAGAGCTCTGTAGCCTCTCACAACGAATTCCTAATTCCATGAATTCAAACGTAAGGCTCATCTGCTAAGCGCAGTGGTCTTCTACTTCTGTAAACTTTATAAATCCCAAGTGAGTAGAAATTTAAAAGTTCTTGGAGAGCCGATGAAAGGAATATGAGATGTGTCATGAAAAACAAAAATATTTTCTTCCCCCAACTTAAAAAAAAATTTTTAGTTTACAGAAGCATTGAAGGAATAATATAATGAGCACTAGTATACCCTTCATCTAGATTCACCAAATTGTTTCATTTTGCCACATTTTCTCTCTCCATATATACATATGTATATACACACACATGCATGTATGTAGTATGTATGTACTTTTGCTGACTCTCTTGAAAGTTATAGACACTACAGAAGTTTTAATACTTTACCCCCAAATACTTCAGCATACCTGTAAGAAGGGCATTTCTCTATATTTCCACTAATACCATTGTACACCTAAGAAAATTAATATTAATGCAATAATATCTAATAAACAGTTCCAGTTTTCCCAAGTGCCCCCCAAATGTCTTTTATATGATGCACATTTGTTTTATGATTCAGAATCCATTTGATGTTTATATATTGCATTTGACTGTTTATTTTTTAAATCTAGAAAAGTCTTTTTTTCACGTCACTGGCTTTTTTGAAGAATCCAAGACGGGTGTCTTGTAGAGTGCCCATTATCGTGCAGTGTTCTAATTGTTTGCTCATAACTGGATTCAGGGTAACATTTTTGGCAACAGGTCTCCATTGGTAATGTCGCATACTTGCCAGTGCATGACATCAGGAGGCACGTAGTGTCAGGTTGTCTCTCTGTTGATGATGGGACACTGGTTAAGTTGGTCACCACCAGGCCTCTCTGTTAGAAAGATAAGTTTTCAAAAAGAACCTGCAAGTCCTAGAAATTTCCACTGGTTTTTTGTTTTCCCCTGAATCAGAGCTCTTACCACTACCAGCTTGCCTTTTCATTTACAAAAAATTCTGCAATTTTATTTTAACCTAGAAAAGGCATATTGAATCTGCTGCAAGTTTCATCAATCTTAAGTCTCTGAAATTCTGTTATTGTTGTGGCACACCCCTTACCAAGAGTCATCTCTCTCTCTTTCCCTCTTTCTCTCTCTCTCTCCTACCTCTCCCCTCCCGCCGCTTCTCTCTCTCTGTGTCTCTGTTTTTAAGACAGATGTAGTTCTTTGTGAATACCAATATAACCTAAAGTCACACACCACTAAAAATGATGACATGAAGGCAAGCACTGCCTTTCCTATTTCTCATTACCAAAACACCCCTTTTGGATCTGTAAACTGTTGGCAAAGAGGCAAATATGCAACCATATATATTTTTAAGTTTACAAATACTTTATTGTATTTAGGCTGAGCTTAAAATGCATAAACATGCCAGGCTTTAGAGCATTTTATTTTGGTGTGGTTTAGGATGAGAAGCAGTTGTGTTATTAGCTGGCAAAATAGGGAGAGAAAAGAAAATAATCATTTCCTTAAATGTGAAGCTTTGATCTTGGTATGTCCATAGGACTGTGACATCTGAAACAGGAATTTAAAGTCAACTTTTTCCCCTTAAGGAGAAACTGCATTCTGTCCCAAACACATCCAAATATACAGAACCTGATGTGGTGCAAACCACTCCATCTGGCTGCAGAGCCTGAACTTTTGCCACAGCCGCATGCTGTTGTCTGAGGCTGAGTTTTAGGGCCCTTGGGGTGAATAACCTAATGCCCTGCAAAAGGGCTAGAGCTATTGGTCTGAATTTCTCCATTTTCACTTGCGGGCAGATGAACTCCAGGCCCGAGGGACTCTTTATGGTCTGAAGCACTTGGATAAAATTCAAAACTGAGACTCACTAACTACATTTTCTCTTGAATTCTTTCTTACTATAACAAGGAGAGAGTCTCTTATTAGCCAAAGATCTTTAACAAGCAGGAAGATTTGCTCCTTGTTCCAGCTAATGCCTGCACCCAACTCATTTGGGCCTGTTGGAATTTATTTAACCAAGTGTGCTTTGAAGAACTGTCTAATCCAGGAGGGAACGTATTGATGCCTGGTCATCTGCCCCTTTTTTCCTTCAAAGTGAAATGTTGATTTTCATGCCATTTTAATTTCCCAGTAGGGCAAAAATAGACTGCAGGTAGCTGCTAAACAGGTATGAGTCCAGTGAGGCTTAAAGTGTTTCTGTCTGGCTGCCACTAGGCAGATGGTTTTAAAGTTTGAAATTGGCCTTATGGCTAGAATTGTTGGGGATTTTTATTGCAAGAGTTTAGAACAGGAAAGTCTGGAGGTGAGACTGAGTAGACCTGCAGGCGAGCTTTTCATTTTTCTCAAAAGCTTAATCTGAAGCAAGATCGGTATCTCCTTTCAAAAGGGGCAGATCATTTCCACGCCCCTCGAGGCTAGCCCCAAAGTGACTTTTTTCTTTCTTTTTTAATGAACACTGCAACTTAAGCATTAATCCAGAAAAGCAAAACTTTTTGACTGACAGGGAAGTTGTAGCTCATAACAGTGTACACTGAGCTCAGAGGCGTATTGACAGCCAGCCGGGGCCAGCCGGGCAAGGAGTTGATGTACGGATCTGCAGGTAATCACAATCTAATTACAAGCTCTGTTTAGGCAAGGAGGGCAGCTTGGTTTCTTTCTTGGATTGAAAGGCACATGTCTTGTGCTGTCTCTGGCGGTGAAATCAATACTGCGAAATGGCCTTTTCCTTTCAGCCTGTATGTTCTTTACTCAGCGCAATGCGTTGAGGAATGCTGAAGCAGTTGAGCAAATCCAATATTTTATTAAACTTACTAGATCAACCTGCTAACGGCAACTCACAGTGTGGAAATATAGAAACCAAACTTAATGAATAGATTAGAAAATTGATGATTTAAAAAGGCTCTGTGTACCATTCGAAAGGCTCCTCCTTGTAGATATCACTCCTGGTAGATATACTTAAAGGAAAAAGGTCTGTCTGGTTTTTATATTTATTTTATTTGAATTTTTTTAGGCACAGAATTTCAGAGCAGGAAGAGACTCAGAGAGAGATGATCTGTTCTAACCTTATCATTTCACAGATGAGGAGACGGGCCCAGAAAGGTGAGGCCTACAGCCCTGTCCCTGGCGCCTACTCCAACGTACTTTCAGTTATATTTCTTTTTTAAAAATGGCGGTGGTTGCCTAGGTTTACAATATACATTTTTAACTAATCTAAGTCCACTTTCAAATAACACTATTTCCCATGTGTAGTGTAGGCACCTCATAGCAGAGTATTCCCCGTTCCTGCCTCCAGTCTCTTATGATGTGGTCACTCATTTCACTTATCCATAAGTTATAATCACCCAATACATTGTTGTCGTTACTTTAAAACAGTTACCTTTTAGATCAATTAAGAATTTTAAAAATCAAAGATTTAAGTTTACCTTCACTTATTTCTTCTCTGACACTTATCCTTTCTTTATGTTGATCCAAGTTTCTGGCCTTTATAATGTTCCCTTTAACATTTCTTTGCAGGGCAGGTTTTCTGGCAAAGAATTCCGTCAGATTTTGCTTGTCTGAGAAAGTCTTTATTTATCCTTCACTTTTGAAGGATAATTTTGGTAGATGTGGAATTCTAGGTTGGTGTCTTTTCATCTTTTAACATTTTAAATATTTCACTTCAGTGTTGTCTTGCTTACATGGTCT